TTGACATGTATTGACATGTATTAATGTACAAAATAACCCACGATCTAGCGCCCAAACAACTAATTGATATGTTTCAAAAGACGCCTTCGTCTCAACATTATAACTTACGAGGTTATGCCACAAATCTCTACCTGTCCAAACCTAAGACCGAATATCTTAAAAAAGGTCTTAGTTATAGAGGAGCAAAATTGTGGAATGGCCTCCCAGATAGACTAAGAAATAAATGTTCTCTTGGTCAATTTGACTTAAGTGTGCGGCACCTGGCCAGTTAGATAATGAGTTTATGAAATTTTATTTATTTGTCCATAGTAGAGTAATTATAATTGTATAATTGTATTGTAATGTGTTAGTCTTGTATATATATTTATCCTAATTGAGTGTAACGTTTGTATTTTTAAACCTGCGCCCCTCTTGGAAATCAGCTCTTGCTGTAGGGGTTAGCGTAGACAAATAAAGTTTTTACTTACTTACTTACTTACTTACTTACTGTCATGTATATCACTTTCAAAAACTCATTAATAATTCATGAAGCAATTATCCAATCTTGAGTAAGAAATTAGTCACGTGCATACGTCTTTATACCAGCTAAAGAACACTTTAACAAAAGACCATTGTTATGCAAACTATATAAAGATTTTTATATAAAGATTTTTATATAAAGACTTTTATATACTCGCGGGTCGTGTTTTTTATTAGGTCTAAAGCCACTCGCGCTGCGCGCTCGTGGCTTTAAACCTAATAAAACACTCCTGCTCGTTTTTTAAATAGTACATATCATGCATGTAAGATCCTACAATACCATGGGCCCAGAACAAGTTCTCGTCTCATCCCTGGCCGGAATATGTAATGCCTCCATTGATTAATTAACAAAATAAATCCAACTGAAGGCAAATGTTATTAAGACAGGTCTTTATATCCTGTTGCACCACATAAACCGTCACTTGGAAAACTATTAGATTTTTATTAAATTCCAGTTTTGCTTTCGCCGTCGCGTTGCCGTCCTAAAGTCGTAAGGTCGCTAATAACAAATTAAAGCCTTGACAAGTGTTCCAATTCGGTTTAATTAAACTTAAATATAATACATTATAGTGTTGGGAAATAATTAAGTGATGGTTGTCCAATACGAAACGAACTTAATGATCTGTATGACGTCACTGAAATTTTTGGCTACGGATGCAAAAGTTGTTTAATTTGTTGTAACGATTGGTAAGGACTGAACATCAATCCGTATCATTTGTAACGGATGGAGTGCTTTTCCACTATCGGAAAATATGGTATAGCCATTCGTAACTCTGCTGCGCTAGGGCTCTTGTTTGCCGGTTAAGGAAGCCCACAAAAATGTTGTTGACCCGTACCGGCATTTGTAACGGACGGACAGCTAATTCACCATCGGAAAATACAGCGCGTAGTAGTTGACGGTTTCTCGTCAAGTTACCTCGATGTAACATCTGGTGTTCCTCAAGGCAATATTGTTGGCCCATTGCTTTTCTTGATCTACGTTAACGACCTTCCTGACGCAGTAAAACTCAGCAAAGTACCAATGTTTGCCGACGACAGTATTTAAATGCCTTAAAATCATAAACAATCCACACGACTCTAATCTTCTCCAATCAGATCTTCAACCCATGTGTCTTTGGTCTTCTACATCGAACTTAAAGTTCAACTTGAAGAAATGTTCCGGAATAAGATTTTCGCGGAAACGTTGTATTGAGTCTCCCGATTACTTTTTATGCTCCAGTCAGATCCCTTTTCAATCAACTCAAAAGGGTCTTGGTATACTTATTACGAATAACCTAAAATGGTCGCCTCATATTTCCAACATTGTTTCCAAAGCAAACCGCATGCTTGGATTTCTACGACGTAACTGCACATATTTAACTAATATAAATTATCGACGCTCTCTCTATTTGACACTTGTTCGTACACACCTGTGTTATGGCAGTGAAATTTGGGCACCCCAAACAACATCTAGGGACCTTTTTGTCTTGAAAGTGTCCAAAGACGAGCGACCAAGTATATCCTTCAAGACTTCACATCATCTTACACCAACCGTTTAAAGAAACTTAACCTACTGCCTATTTCATACTGGCTCGAAATAAGAGATATTACGTTTTTTTATAAATGCAAAGCTGGTTATTATGACTTAACACTTGAAGACTATATTCTAGACAATTCTACTAATCATCACACTCGCTTTAGCTCTACTGATTCATACCGTCCAAACCGTTGCAGAACACCTTCTTTCCGAAACCTATTTTTCAATAGGATAGTGCCACTTTGGAACAACCTGCCAGGAGAAATAAAATCGTCTCTCTCTATTCAGTCACTGAAACTTAAACTCTATAATCACTACACTCAAAAAGTTAATGCATGTTTTGATGTTAATAGGCCAAGGACTTGGAAAACGTTTTGCTCTAAATGTCGTTCTTGTTTTATTTCTTGTTGTTCGTAGAAGTGCATGTTCTGAGTTTTTGTACGAATGTAATTATGTGTAATACTGTAAATATGTAACTAGCTATGTATTTTGTTACTGTCGATGCAATGGGGGTGTTGGTGGAATATTGCATGAATTCATTTCCTCCACTGGTTTCCTCAAGTTGATCAATTCATACGAATTCAAATTTCTTTTTACTTCCTGTGCGTTTCCTATTGGTCAATCGGTTTTGAAACGAAATCTAATTGGCTCATCTAAAAGTAACAGGAAGTTGATCAATTTTCTATCAAATGAATTGATCAACTTGAGGAACGAATTGGTGCAATATTTTGTCAACACTTCCATTGCATCGACAGTAATTTTATAACCGTTTATAGTATAGTATAGTATAGCGTAGTATTTTCATGTATCGCAGGACTTAATTTGGGACTTTATTAGTCCTGTTGTCTGTGCCTTCAATTTCTTATTGTAAAACTAATAAAAAAAATCATATGTCGATTCGTAACATCGTTACTATATAGTTTGCGTGTGGCTAAGGTATATATGCCTCAAAAATGTTGTCGATCCGTACCATTTGTAACGGATAGACTGCTAATTCACCATTGGAAAATATAATAATGTCGATTCGTAATATCGTTACTAAAGCTTGTGTTTGGCTAAGGTAGACCTCAAAAATGTTGTCGATCCGTACCATTTGAAACGGTTTGACTGCTAATTCACCATCAGAAAATATGATTTGTCGATTCGTAACATCGCTACTATAGCTTGTGTGTGGCTAAGGTATGACAGTCAAGAAGGTAGTTAATGAGTATATCACTATTAATAGTGACTGTCTCAGTATGGCATCGATGCATCCATGACAGCAATCAATGCAGTATATTGTTAGTAACTGTCTCAGTCTAGCCTGATAACAGACCTACGTTTCACCCGCCCTAAAATTCGTCGTTGGAAAAGGCGAAAATGTTGTCAAAAGCGCCTACCACCCACTTTGCATTTTGCAATAATTAACGATGATGATTGACACATACATGCAATACCTAAATATACAATGGAAGTTGTCGATTTCGCTTTATTGTAAACTAGTAAGAGTCGATAAGTACAGATATTCGAATAAATATTTACAAACAGTTGCAGCTAGTAATAATACAACATTTTCAACACATTCTATATAAATGCGATAAAATCTGCCTACGCAAATTTGGCAATGGCCAATGTGCCATTTGTTGAATTGCATCCCAACTCTTACAATTTATACATTTGAAATCGCCATACAATGGTAAAATCTAAATAAAATATTTTGTACGTGCTATGTTATCAAAATGTAAAATAATCACGAATGCGCACATATTTGCATCCGAGTTTTATTATGATTAATCACAAAACTTAGATCGTGTATAAAAAATTATATATGGTATTGTTTATTACAACGGAAAGATACAACGCTGAAGAATTTGACACGTTCTTCTCTACTCCACTCTAGTTTTAATTTTAGACGGTAGATACTGGTCATAGACTAGTTGTCGTTCGGTATCACAAAATATTTATAATATTACACTGGTATGCATATTTATATGCGTTGATTTTTACCGTTGAAAATATTCTGATCTTTTCAAATCTTTTCATGTTAGCGACCAACCAATCACAACCCATTTCCCTGTGAATTAGCCAATCAGCTTTGTTGACCGCCAGGCGGTCGACTTACTTGCACTTTTGACAACATTTTCATCAGACCTACGTTTCGCCCTTCGTCGACCCGCGAATTTTAGGGCGGGCGAAACGTAGGTCTGTTATCAGGCTAGTCTCAGTCTGGCATCGATGCGTCCATGACAGACATGTTAATGAGTATATTGTTAGTAATTGTCTCATTACCTTTCGTTGATCATAATTCTATGAGTAAATAACTGACTGCTAGTCAATATTGTTTCTTTTTATTTTTCTTTAAGTTCTGAACATATGAACTAAAGATTTATATCCATTTCAAACTATTGCATAATCCGTAGTAGTAGGCCTTGGGCTGTTGTGCAAAAAAGTGCCTAGAAAAGCAATTTCGTGGCACCCATCTGGGAAATAGATTTTCTGTGGTTCAATTCATAGAACCATAGATGCTTAATTACCACAAAAAGTTCCCAAGTAAAAAACCTGCCCAACACCGAGAAAATGGGTGATCAGTGATTCTACCAAATCATTAAGAACATCCGGGTTACCATGAGATGCGCACGCACCGTCGTGGGTCAGTGCATTTGTTATTGTCGTGGTGTTAGGACGTGTTTTTTCATCTTCGCTTGTTGTCTGCTTGATTTGATTTTCTTGTCAATTCACGCGTTTACGGTAAGTATTGATTTATATTCGAAGATCAATTTTCCTACTTTTTTGGACGAGTTTCCACAAAAGTTTGTTGAGATAGTGTCTTGGTGACGTGTCACGGCACTAATACAGGTTTACTACATTTATATTTGATATAACAAATATATGTTTGGCCAAGACGTGTCTTGGCCTATAATATAATTGTGCAGTGAATTGTGCATAATCAGACTTCTGTATTGTTGTTTACAGCGTTAAATTAAACATGTGCGACAAAGATTGCCACATAACTGGGACTAAATCTGCTTCCAAACAAGCTAGGGGTAGTGACGAGATCACTTCACCTCCGATCAAGAACGATTTAGCTGACATTAAAGCGGCTATGACTGAGATGATGTCCAGTTTTAAGAATGAACTTTTAAGTCACGTTAATGTGTCGATATCTCAGGTTTATTAAGATTTTGAGCAAGCGGCAGATCAAGAAGTTCAGGACGACAGTGTTAGTGCCCCTGAAGCTGGCCCATTGCCAGAACACAGTGAGGATAATCTCGTTGATAAAATCGCAAACTTTGCCAAAGACAAGGGTTCACACTCGCAAACAGATTTGAGCGAGAATACAGTTTTTTAAAACCTTTGTAGAACAGTTCGCTCCGGGTGAGCAAACAGGACCGGCAATTGACCATGATCTTGCCACAATCGTCAACGAATTGTTGACTGAGAAGTTAACAAAAGAGAAGCTTGAACCAGTTCAAGATAAGTATTTAAAGCCAGAAAATTGCGAGAATTTAGTCGCACCAAAAATTAATAAACCCATATGGCAACAGCTTAAACAGGAGACTAAGAATACCGATTCTACATTTCAAAAAATTCAACAATTGGCATTGTCTTCGCTGTATGCCGTCTTGCAGGTTTGTAATAACCTTTCCAGCAAGCAGAATATTGAGGATAGTGTAATTATGCTTACACATTCAATAGTGCTTTCACTAGCAGCAAATCGAGAATTAAATTTAAAACGGCGAGATTTACTTCGCTCGGATTTGAATAAACAGTACGCTGCTTTATGTAATCCATCTACTCCAGTGTCACAATATCTTTTTGGGGATGACCTAAATAAGGAGATGGAAGATCTTTCAAAAGCTAGCAAGCTCACAAAGAAAGTTACGCCTAGTCAACGTATGGAACCGTATCGTCGACCAGTTGGGCGCGCCTCAACCTATGTACCTTCTCGTTCGAATAACTACCGGGGTCGTGGCTCGAGAGGTGCTTTTTTAGTGTTCGGCCGAGGGCAATCCCGAAATTATTAGCGGAACAGTCAGAGACAGTCCCAGAAGTAGAAAATCAGGTAAGTCATCAATGTATACAAAAGTCGATTAGTAATTTAATTCAAAATCAAGCCACATTTACAGGTGGCCGGTTGAGAAAATTTTACGATGTGTGGAAAAGATTAACATCTGATCAATTTATCTTGGATGTAATTTCTCATTGTCATCTTGATTTTGCGACTGAGCCTTTTGCTAATATCAGTGCAGTGAGACCACAGTGTCATTTTACTCATACCGAGCAATCGATTATAGATGTGGAAATTGCTAAGCTTTTGAACAAGGAAATTATAAAACCTTCTCAAAATGAAAGTATTCA